TGTAGATCCTCAAATCATCTCTGAATTGTCCCTTGATGGACTACAATCATGTTTAGTTTACTCATTTGAAATCACAGGAGTGAGTTATATATGCCCCTAGTCCATACAGTACATACACCTTCACTCGATTCAATAATGTTGCTTTTAGTACCTACTACCGTGTTTCCCCGAAAGTAAGACCTACCCCGAAAATAAGACCTAGCACTATCGTCAGGGATTTCTGTAATATAAGACCTACCCCGAAAATAAGACCTAGTGTCTTTTTTCGTAGAAAAAAAAAATATATATAAAGATATTGTCTTATTTTCTGGGAAACACGGTAGCAGTGATAAGCATAACAGGCTCCATCTTTAGGCCTTGTTCCCACCAAGCGCGTTCCAGGAGCAGAGCCGAGCAGTTACAGACCGGAAACTGCGTCCAATGTATTCCAATGGTATTTTGGGCTCTAGTTCACACCACAGCGTTCAGTTCCAGAGCATGTAAAAAAAACTGCAGCAAGCCCCATTTTACCTGTTCTGGAACGCATGCAAACGCCGTGGAACGCATTCTAAACTTTGTTTTAAATAAAAACATTTTCCAAAAACGCCACGGAACACATCAAAAACGCGGCACAACCCACTGCACTGCGTGCGCAGAAACCCATGCAGCCTTTATATGCATAATTAAAGAGTGTACAGATGGGGCCACACAGTGCTACAGTGCCAAAAATAAAGTGATTGCAGCCAAATCAGCTGAAGTCCCCATTCACGTATTGCGACAGTGGCGTGCCCGCTGCTTTCAGAATACAATAGCCCGGTTGGGGATAAAAACTATAAGTGTATTGCCAGCTTTACTGACCTTGATGCAGAAAATGACAACAGACTTCCCTTATCTGCATACAAGTTTTGTTGCCAGTATCACATCTTGACAACTAACATTTTCAGAAGAAGATTGGTAATGGCATGCTCTCATGACAGGTTAAGCAGCATTACTTTTTCTTCCTAATGCCTGTGATTGAACAATGAGGCAAAACTGAAAAGGTAATCTCTCTGCTCTTCTATTCTGTAATCACAGGCTAGACTGACAGCAATGTGCAAAGGAGCCCTGAGCTAAAGTTTTATTATTTCCTGTACCAGGAAACATTTAGGTACCTAAGATTGAGATTTTTACATAGAACTGTCTCTATTGGTTTCCACCGTGCTGTCAATCAATCGTTGGGAGCTGGCTATAGAACATGAATGAGCAAAGTGATAAGTGTGGTGATGCTCTTTACAATCCATGGTCCTTTCTTCACAATGGGAGGGGGAAGGGGTAGTTCACCAAGCTGTACCTGTAAACTGCAAACAAAGTAAGGTAAGCTACCTTACTATGCTCTACGGCAGGGGTGCCTGGGTCATACAATTGGCCAAACAAATCCTTTAGAAAGTAAAATAGTTCACACACTTTTATTTCAAGTGTGTATTGAGCTTTTTGCACAGTTCAGCTTTATATAATGCTCATAGTACAGTATTGAATCCAGGCCAGAAGGATCCACCAAGTGCTCCCTAAATGCTAGCTCCATGGCTGTTGATGCTTTAGTTTAACTGCTGTCTAAGCTGCTGACCATGACCAGGTACAGAGATATTCTCACACTTTTCTGACACTGAACAAATTTTAGATCTGCAATTCTTAAGTACTGAAGTCACACACAGCCAGGCATCTAGCACTTCCTGGAGGCCAACAATGGCAGCTCCTATACTTCTCACGACAGACTCACTTAGGCCTCATTCACATGGGGCATGTTGCCCTTTATAACATGAAGGGATTTTGATGCATCTGGAGCTGCGGGAAGAAGCATGCGGGCAGCTCATTTAACCCCACAGAGACACAGGTGTTGTGCACCCTCACATGTGCTTCCTAGAGCTCCAGGTTTTCACAGCCGCATACAGATGGCGCATGGACCTGAATCCATCACGTCTGTGGCAGAGGCCATACACTTTCTGTATACGGCTGTCAGAACTTTCAGCTGCAGGAAGCAGCGAGTATGGACGCACAGCTCCTGCGTCTCCACAGACATACATAAGCTGCTGCATGCTTATTCTTCCTGCAGCTTGGTGCATCAAAAACCAGCCCTCATGCAGTAAGGACCAACATATCCCATGTGAATGTGGCCTTAAAGGCCAAATTCAAACTTGGTGAGTTACTGCAGACACATTCACATTTATTGTGGTAAAGCAGCCCACTTATTTTGAATGGGCTGCCAATGCACTAAAAAAGACATCTTAATGCAGTCAGCGTAACACGAAGTGCAGATGGATCTTTTTTTATTACGAAGTGCTAATATGCAGGTCTGGTATGGAGAGTGGGGAAATGCTATTCAAAATGGCACTGCAACACACTGCACCATGGTTCATGTGTGACCACGTGTATGCACATTTTACGGCATGTTACTCCAAACAAAGTAGAGAGTTTAGCCTAAGTGGGAGAAGAGAACCTTTTGTGGAAGCCTTTAAATGTGCCTCGAAAACCGTGAAACAGTGCCTATATGTAGACAACTGCTGCCATGTGAACTAAAGAAGTAACTTATAAACAGTGCTGACAAATTAGAGAGCATTAACCTCCTACACTATGCACGGCAGAAACCTAACTAAAAGATCATTATCTGCCATCAATAAAAACAGCAATTACAAAAGTAAATCACTGTCTCCTTGGTACAAAACCTTGGTCTGTATGTGATTTTAGAGCAGGGGCAGGCAAACTCTGGCCATCCAGCTGTTGTGGAACTACAAATCCCACAATGCATTGCAAAATTCTCACAGCCACAGGTATGATTCCCAGAGACAGATACATCATAGGATTTGTAGTTTCACCACAGCTGGAGGGCCGGAGTTTGCCCACCCCTGCTTTAGAGAAGCATGGCTGAACAACCCTAGTTAGGTCACACAGTTTCACTATATTATAAAAGCAGCTCTCATACATTCATAAAGCACGTCAACCATAATGGCAACAGTGTACAAGACACTAACAGTGGTTATAGCAACTATTTAGTCTTGAGGCTACACACACTGGCCCTCTGTGTTGTTTTTCATGTTAGTGCAGGTGAAAATATTATAGGGAAGTATCGTCCTTGTTTTGTCTTTTGATGCATTATGCACCTGCGTTTTCATGCATTTAGGTGTCCTATACAAACTTTTCCATCCAAACTATGTTTTATTATGCATTTAGAAAATCGTACCTAATTTTCCCTAACACCTAAAAGCATTTAAATACAAAGTGTGGATTAGAATGTGCCTTTAGAAATGTCCTATAAACACATGTAAACACGTATAACCACAGGTATGTAATTGGCACTACTGAGGTCTAACATTCCTAAATTTAAGCTGACTGATTACTGACTTGTTGCTATGGGTTACTGTATGCTTTATACATGGTCATTCAATCATTGTCACTGGAGTTGAAAGTGAGGGAAAAATCTAAATTGATCAGTTGAGTTGACATTGGAACACAAGTAGAGGGGAAATCTAATTCTAACGAGGACACTAATTAACTGCTAAGAGGGGATTTCATAACAGGTTGTGGAAATGTAAAAAAAAAACAAAAAAAAACTACTTGTCCAAGGACTAAAGTGGGGCCCAATCTACTTTTATTTCATGGCAATGGACGGATACAAAAAATAATTTTAACCATGCAAAGAAGCGCATGAAAGAAATCTATAGTGCAGGGCTGTGCAAGATGGCAGTACGAGGTACGGATAGTACACCCGTACAGGCGGAGGGGAAGGACCGTTCGCTTAAAGGCTAGTATAGTGGGGGGAGATGGGGCCAGATTTGAGAGGATAATTCCATTTTCCCAAATTACTTGGGAAAGTGATCTTACCCTTTATGCCATACGCAGTGGTGTTACAAGGGAGGTGCAGCCCACATCGGGTGACACCATTAGAGGGGGGTGACACCATAATGACACTGTTTTACCATTTAGCCCTGCTTGCCGTCAGCTAAATGTAGAAAAAAAAACGACCTGCCCAGCGCCTGGAACTTAATGTCCCGGGCGTCGAGCAAAAGGAATCACGCAATCTCTGCATAACTTTGGAGAGAATTCCTCTCATTTCCTTTTGTGTCTATTGGACAGAAAATCAAGGGATTTTTAAGTTTTCAATGGAATAGGGGAATTTGTTCCCTATCGTGTACCAATTGGTAGAAATCTACCCAAAGGGACACAGACAGGGCAAATAATCCAGTCACGTGTTTTAATCATTCCCTACTCTTTCCAAACCTGGAAGAAAAAAAAAGTTGTGACAATAGATACACTAACTCATGTTGGTCCTTCTGGTAATCAGCTGGACAGGTTATATACAATATGCACACAGTTACTGAACCCTTATAATGTAAATGCTTGTGCATTTCCCCCCTCAGGCAGCCACAGGTTATGCGCGCAGCCTCCCACAGATGTCAATCACTCTATGCGGTTGTACATGGGTATATGCCAGAACATGCGTATGAATGACCATCCCTGGATGCAGGTTGTCTGTGCCCAGGGATGTGCGTCCATACACATACAGGACTGTATGCAAACACCGGTAAGCCAGGGACAGCCATTTATGGGAGGCTGTGGAAGGACATTGACTTTTATGGGAGGCAGTGTGCATGAGCCCTTAGGACCAGGGGTGAGCAAACGCCAGCCCTTCAGCTGATGTGGAACTACAAATCCCATAAGGCATTGCAAGATTCTCACAGCCACAGGCATGACTCCCAGAGACAGATGTATTCCCCCCCCCTGCCTTAGACTGTACTGGCCCTATTGAGGAAGCGACAATACAAATAAACAGCAGTGGTACAATAATCATAACTGTGTGTCTCCCCCTCAGGCCATTAAAACATTACATTTATTAGATCTGCTAAAATCATACATGATTTGATATTAAAATCAGGTCTAGGTTGTGTGCTCAGTGATTGTAACCTGAAATAATGGACAACACTTTTGGCAGCTTTCTATAAATGCATGAACTCCTCTGAAGCATATGGCCCATTAATATGCACACTCACCTTTCTGCCGGAGGAACTTTATTTGATGCCTGCGGCTCTGGTGCTCTGATAGCTCCTGCAGGAATCCACATTCAGGGTTACTCCTGCTCAGGAAGGCATCCGATCCAGATGCTTCTGTCGAGCTGTCCACGCTATCCTGATATTGCCAAAGACCTGATCCAACTCCGCCACGGTATGTGTCGTAGATTTCTGTCAGCAATCCGTTCACTAAGGAAGATGTGCGGCTATGTGTATCCTGAGGTTTGGCACTGTCTGCGCTACCTCTGCCACTGGAATTCTCACTAGGCAACACTTCACTTTCACAGTCCTCAGAGGGTGAAATGGGCCAGACTATTGGACAACCGTTAGGCCACAGATTCAGATTTTGTGGGTGGCTGTACTCGGATGTATTGTTGACAAGCGCATCGCTGTCATTGTCTATACATAACTCTTCATACATGGTTTCATCCATATTTCCATCCGTGGGTAACTGCGAAGACATGTTTCCAATTCCACCAGGGTCACCCATAGCAAATAAAAGTGTAGTAAGTCAGTAAAGGCCTTACAGCATCCATACCCGGCTCACTTCTGGCCTCCTCTCTGCCAGCAACTCCAACTTTCTGACATAGTATGTGTTCCGGGGTTGTACTATTCACATTCTGGGGAGTGGAGGCACTTTTCAGTTTTGCACCTTCATTGCAATTCGCCTTTATTTGCTTTCCCTTTCCTCCCTCCGCCTCGAAGTGGTGCAAACCCGTCTAGTAAGTTTCTCTGTGACTTGTCCAACAGGTGAATAAGAAGTGTGACGTCTGCAGTCATTCCACCTTGCAGCAGCTTGCAGATATGCTTGTCAGATTGCCCAGTTGACTTAGCAGCATGGGTGGGGTGAAAGGGATAATAAAGACACGGACGTTCACAAATCCTCCCAAAATGCTTCTACGAAGTAAGGCATAGAGAGAAGATCCTCAAAAAAAATAAACAGTCAATCGGTTTGGGATTTTTTCCTTTTCTCACATAGAGCTGATGGCTGACTATAACAAATACATCACATGTAAAGGAATAAAAAGCAGGCAGACCTTTATCTTGCTTTTTCAATGACATCTGGTATTTCCTGTGTCCGTTACAAGTTTTCTGGGAAGTTTTCCTACATGGAAGCTTCATATCCTGTGGTAAGAGCAGAAATGAAATCCTTTTACAGAGAAAGCATGCAGCATGGACACAGAGAGAAATGTTATACCTGTCCTGGATCACACTATGAAGGCTCTGTGTAGCAGCTGTAGCCCAGACACCTCCTGCCTTCTACTGGTGTCCTATGGAGACTGACCACCCCACAGACAACTTCAGCAGGGTGGAGCTAGGCTCTCCTAGTGAGGGAAGTCCAGACAGCTGACAGTCGGACGGATTTGGGAATCAAAGCCGTATAGGATCACACACTTGCTCCTTTTCAGTATTTACATTGCAGTCCCATGAGCTAGGATGCCAGGCTATGCAGAGCGTGTATCAATATTTTCACAGGTTCACCTGACTTTTCATAATACGTTGCTTAAACGAAAAATCAAAAGAGTGCAGGATTTATTAGGAATAATATTTTTATACAGGATTTATATAGCGCCAACAATTTGCGCAATATTAAGGGAGACAGTACACTTGCAATACATTTCAAGACAACATGGATAAGAGGGCCCTGCTTATGAGTGCTTACAATCTAAAGTTAACGTATGTTCTTTTTTAAAATACTTTTTAAAATAAACTCTATTTAGCTTGTTACAGCTCTGTGTATCATAAACAACTGCCATGTTTTTGGGGGATTTATTTTTGCAACTCAGTGCTGCTAATCAGGCACTATTGTATCTACTTCCTGTCTACATGCACTCACACCAGTGCGAGTTGCATGTTATTGCACAGGACTTGTGATGAGCCTGGGCTTGGCGTGAGCCCAGTTTGCCTAAATGTAAGATGTTCCATTGCACTCTAGGCCAGTATCCCAATTCTAAATATTCCAGTGGGTGCTGTAGTGACCTGAGGATGTTGCCTCAAATGCAATGTTTTGGAACCACATGCAGCTCCTTCATCATTCAAAACAGTGTGATTTGCCTGATTAGGAACTGCATGTGGTTCCGAGACGTTGCATCTTCCTGCAATGCCATGTTTATCTAATGTCACTAAAGCCCGAAAATAAAGTGGAACCCTAGTGCTGGTGACTACCTCTACAACCCTGTTTGCCTAAGTTCAATCAAAACTGTGACCAACACCCCCTCCTCCTGGCCCATTTAGTTGTGGAGAGGCGCATTCCCCACCCCACAGCTATACTTCAGAAAGGTGGGGATTAACCCTGTCGCAACTGCTTTCACTGACTGGGTTGTTGGGAGTAGCAGTCACAGTTTTGAGCGAGCTTGGGCACACTTAGGTTAACTGGGTTCACATCAAGGCTAGGCGTATTACTACTCAAGACTAACTTCCTGATGGTGACTAGGGATGTGCATGGGCTGGCTGCGAACCGAGTTTGCCCAAGCCTAAGCTAAACTGTTAGTGACATATCCCCTTCCCGGACCAATCAGCTGCGTACTCATACTCATGAAAATGCCCCGATACCAAAAAACCTACCAGGGCTTTCATTTTTCAAATTGAAGCGGCTGCCTGAGGTTCCATACTTGCTGGGGGCCTTGCGGCAGTCTTCTTGGAACCACGCAGCGCCTGTTTAAAGTGTCTTCGCCAGGCCACACATCTCCCCCTCCAGAGACCATCAGCACCCCTCCTGAGACCCACAGCACCCCTTCTGAGACCCTCCACACCCCTCCTGAGACCCTCCACCCGAGACATCAGGCTGGCACCTCGGAGCAAAGCAGCAGCATACAGTATGTAGCAAATTCATATAATATTATTCTGCATTGCTGTATAATGTATTGCTGGGATTTGTAGTCCCTTATAGCTAGTGCCATTCTGCATTGATATCCAATTTATTGTTGGGACTTGTAGTCCTCTATAGCTGATGGTATTATTCTGCATTGCTGTATAATGTATTGCTGAGATTTGTAGTTCCTCTATAACTTGAAGTCAGTGGTAGAACTACCAGGGTTGCAGCGGTCACAGCTGCAACCAGGCCCTGGTGCTCCCCCACTGTCCTAAAATCATTAGTCTGTACTGTTTTTGAAAAACTGTGACATGACACAGAAAAAAAAGGTATCAGTAATTTGTATCAACGAGTACTTGAGGAAAAGTATTAGTACTCATACTCTGTCTGGAAAAAAATGGTATCAGTGCATCCCAAGTAAAAAGTGTTTTCAACAGCAATGGACTAACCAGTCCATTATAGTTTGTTTTCCAGCCAGCTTCGTAAATATAACACCAGACACCCGGCACTGCAAGATGCGACGTGATCAATGAATAAATCAAGACTAAAGATTACATATGCATCAGGGCTGTAAGGTAGCTTCCCTGTGATACAGAGTATCTATGGAAAAGACACTAGTAAAAAACCATTGCTGGCACATGAGTATATTGTTTATATCTTGTGAACATTTCTGTTTGTTTATGTAATCAGTAATGTACTGGGTCAGTTAGTCCTACGTAGCATAACTACATTACTCTAGTTATAAATTGCTAACTCATTTCCTTAGTAATAGTGCTTATTTAGAGCTCACTTCTTTTCCTTCCTTCTTCCTTTGAGCATATCATTATATCTCTATCCATGGTGCAATAATGGTGAATATTGTTGTTGCTATTGTTATTATTATTTAAAGTAGCCAAAACTTTGTTTTCAGTTTTGGATAGAGTAAGGGAGTGTCTTAACCCCCTCAGCTTTTTTTTGCCATCTGTGTCCAATTGGGGAGATTTCCCATCACTTCCTGTCTGTTAGCCACAACAGGTAGTGAGAGGAAATCTCTCAACAGGGAGGAAATCCCTTGTGGTCAGCAGTGTCACCAGAACTAGTGCCATCGGAAGATTTCCCATCTATTGCTGGTCTGAAAACAACTCAAAATTTGTGATTTTCTGACAGGGTTATTCACAAAAGGGTGAAGAGTTTGGAGAAGGCAGAAGAAGTGAACAATCTAGGACAACATAGATGAACTGGAAAAAATCTCCAATTCAGCTCACTTTCCAGTTCAGCTATGTTGTCCTAGATTGGTCACTTCTCCTGCCTTCTCCAAACTCTTCACCCTTTTTGTGAATAACCCTCTTGGACTTCCGGTGATAATGGTCACCAAGTCAAATAGAGAGGTTTAAACTCTCCAACGGGGACAAAAACAGCAATTAAAACCTGACAGGTATTAAAATCCTTCTCCACTCTATACAAAACGAATAAGAAGTTTTGGCTTCAGTTGCACTTTAAGAAACTTCATTACCTCTGAGAATAATATAATATAGTAAGTAATGCTCTGAGACTGCTATGCAGAGCCTAAACAAGGGGTAGTCATTCCATCTGTGGAGTAACTACATATCCCATCATGCCTCTGGGATTTATGCATGTGGCTGTCAGAATCTTGCAGTGACTCATGGGACATGTAGTTCCACCACATCTGGAGTGCCAAGGTTGCCTACCCTTGGCCTAAACCATAGCTCCCAACCGTCCCTCATTTGGAGGGACTCTCCCTCTTTGCGAACCATTTTTCTCTTTCCCTGTTTCGTCCTCAGTTGTCCCTGTTTTTTGTCTGATCTACAGACCTCTATAAATATATTTTTACTTGCTTTTAACAAATTATTTTTCAAAGCCCTTTTGGTTTTAAAAATATTTAGTTTAAATTAGCTAAATACATTCCAGTTGTATCAGAATAAAAGGTGTGTAAAGTCTTACAGTTCTTCCCTTTAAAACCACTGCCTGAGCAGTAAAGGCTGTGTTCTGCAAGCACTCTGCACAATAAGACCCTTACTCGCATTCACACACAGCAGAGGTAGTGAGTAGTAACTTTATTTGAAGTAGTATTAAACTCTCTGCCTTTTTTCCAATAATGAATCATGAAACAAATAAACTGGGGCCAGCAAAGTATTTCTTTACATTTTTGACCACGCACTTACAGTCATCATGTTTCATAACAGCTCCAACCCTTTCAGCTCGGCTTCCCTGAACTTCCTGTCCAGTACAAGATCACAAGAGACAAAGCCGATGCTTTGGATCATGCAGACTGTTCCTCCAAGCCCCTGTCTTTACCGAGGTATGGACTTTCAGCTAAGGGATGGGAGGAAGAATGAATGGACTACAAATACAGTGGCATCACTGCACTTGTACTTTATTGAGAACAAGTCTCTCTGGGGTGGCATATGAGACTTATAGTCACTCCAGTCACAGATCCTGTGTTCGGATCTGTGTATGGATGATGACTTCAAAATAAGACAACAGTCTGCAAGGAGAACCTCACGATCCAGATAAGGGTGGTACATATGGGTGTAACATAGCAACATGGTTACAAAAGGAAACTTAACCTTAACCTTTAACTGTGCTGTTTGCAAAATACTTTTTTTCCCCCAGAGTTCAGCTTGAACAAGTCAAATGCTACTGCACTCTTGTTTCTCTCATATAGTTGATGGGAGTGATGCTACCCCTTTAAAGTGCTCAGTTCTGCCCTCTTCCATGTGGATAGGAGACGTTTTACTTCTCATACTAAACAAGAGAAAGTGGACCTTTAGGCTTCATTCAAACTTGCTACTTGCGTTTATGTCCTCTATATATACAGACAAAAAACTGTCAGGCTAGATGCTGTGTTTATGCTTCTGGATAGGGTTGCCACGTGTCCAGGATTCACCCAGACAGTCCAGGTTTGAATGCTGTGTCCGGGTTTCATGGCAGTAGAAACCCGGACACAAGATGTCAGGCAGACAGGGGCAATGAAAATTAAGATAGGGGCTACTTGTCCCCCACTGAAAATAGTCTCAACTGTGATAATTACATATGAATGGGTGGAGCTATTTACATA